TTTTGAAGTTACTGGGTCTGCCTCGTCTCTTAGTTAGCAATGGTAAAAAGAACCGATGCAACAGGGGATAACACCATCATCCCTTATGTGGCTGGTTTATCGGAGAAGCTAAAAAGGATATTTCACAACCACAATGTCCCAGTTAACTTTAAACCAGGGAACACCCTGCGGCAGAGACTGGTCCACCCGAAGGACAAAACACCCAGACATAAACAGAGTAATGTGTTGTATGCAATTAAGTGTAGTCAGGAGTGTAACGACTTGTACATTGGTGAAACTAAGCATCCGCTTCACAAACGCATGGCCCAACACAGGAGGGCCAACTCCAGTGGACCAGAGTCAGCAGTCCACCTCCACCTGAGGGACAAAGGACATTCTTTTGAGGACAGTGAAGTCCAGATCCTCTCCAGAGAACATCGCTAGTTTGAGAGAGGAGTTAAGGAAGCTATTTTTGTAAAAATAGAACACCCCTCACTAAATAGGGGTGGTGGACTAAGACACAACTTGTCTTCTATCTACAATCCTGTTTTGAGATCTCTGCCCAAACATGCCCACCAGGACAATAGGCGTCAGTCGACAGGGGAGGTTTCAAAGACAGGTAACGACTCTCACAGATACTGGGCTATAACGACTCAGTCGTTAAGGGACTGAAACCACACCGAGGGGGATAAATATCTCTGGCTCAACACCAGTCAGTCAGAACTGATGAAGCCTCTTGGATGAGAGGTGAAATGCCTTCGACCTAGAAATCTAGTCCAGTTCATTTTTTCTAAGTTTTTTCAGCTTAGGGGTATGAATGTGTATTTGCTGACCTGTGAACACAACTTTGAGCCAGAGTGATGAGATGCTGCAGGACCTCCTCCTGGGACAAAACCTTAGTACCATGCCTCCACAGAAGCTCACCACTGGAGCCTAACACACACAGCACCCGAAGAACCTGAGATGATGAAAGAGGAGGCAGAGAAAAGGAGAATGTTAGAGGAGTAAAAGATTATATACAGGATACTGATGTAGTCATTCCTGTTCACCCTCAGTTCTCTGCCCTAGCCAGAGCTACTGGCGAGGGAAGTTGCCCAAGGCCATCCATCATCACAGCTTTGGTGTCTTTTGTGCAGTACAGCTGGAAAGTTGTCCCAAGGGTATTTTTACCACACCGGTCAGATTCTCCCTACACACACTCCACCCTAACCATGAGTATATGCAGCTGCTTTGCTCTCCCTCACACATATGTATGACACGCAAATACATGCGTGTATATGGATGTTCACAAAAAGAAGCATGTGACTAAAGGAATATTCAGGTTTCAGTTTTTCTCCTTATTTGCATCAGGGAGTAACCTGTTCTGTGTCTACCCTAAGTATCATTCAGCATAAGCTCCTAAACTTGATTTTCTGTGGCCATCACTTCTCGCAGCTTCTCCCCCCACTCCATCTTTTCCCATGCTGTTTTTCCTGTCTGGTCACTCCTCCAGAGAGGGAGGCAGCTGACTGAGTCAAAGGAGGAAAAGACTTGTTTTCTACTGCGTGAGGCCCTGTTAACACACATCCAGCTGAGAACACAGTGACATTCCTCCTGCATATCGCGATGATTATTATTTCTTTCAAGGCCATAATCAGTTATTAGAGCTTTAAAATGAAACTTGCTTAAGCTTAACAGGATCTGTGCGGGTGGAGAGCAGAGCAAGTGGGTGCATGCAGTGTCTTGGATGTAAACATCTGTGTGGGTGACAGTAGGTAGGTAGGTACTTTATTGATCCCACAGTGGGGAAATTTATGTACAGTGCATTTCTAATTTTCTGTTGCTCTGACTGACTCTGATACAGCAGAAATTACTGGTGCAACTTCATCCACTGTCAAGGTGCAAAAACTTAGGAAAACAAAGTAGAAACCAAAAAGTTTGGCAACACTTGCAGTGTTCCAAGTAACTTTAGTGCAAAGATAAAGACCAATGCATTTTGGGATAAAGCCTTCGTCAGGGTCCATTGAAAACACACAACAAGTAGTTCCATAAATAGTACAAGTATATAGAAAAAAATCCTTTAAAACCACATTAACATAATTACAAATATCTCAAGAATGAGAAACGTATTTCCAATGCAGTCCAACTTATTTTTAGCCACACTAGTGGTGTGGCTCTGTGGATCATTATCATCAACTTTATTTATATAGCACATTTAACACAGCCGAAGCTGACCAAAGTGCTTAACACAATATCCACAACACCCCTTAAAAAACAACAATGTCAGTCAATATTTTATCACAGTATCATTTATGTAGCCATAAAGTGCACAACTTTTGAAAATTATCAAAATGGTAATCAGCTGTAAACATTAAAGAGTCATCTTCAGACAGTATTTTTAACTCATGGAGCTAACTTTACCTTAATTTGCCAGCTAGTTATAGCTAAGCTATAACTAGATTATACTCTTCCAGCAACAGTTGTTATTTGTTGCCACAATCAAGGACCTGCTGTTTAAAAATTTCGTTGTGGTACAAATGCCACTGTTATCATTTTAAATGTTAATGTACGACTGTAAGTTTGACAGTCAGAAGCAGCATTATGGGTCTTGGGCTTAGCTAACGGTCAATTTTAGCACAATATCATGTGTAGCTGACAAATGCATATTTATTACATTTTTAATCTTGTTTTAATGAGTCCAAACCTTTGATTGAGATGAATTCTGAATTCATACAAATATCATTCAAATATACAGTAGTATTTTCCAACCGTGGAGCTCCAACTTTTGCTGAATTAGTTAGCCAACTATAGCTGATGCCAAATTGACAGTCAGCTAGAAATAAGAATCTCACGTAGAGTAAATCTGTTTGAAATCAAGAACCTACTCTTTCAAAATGTAAGAATTTTGAGTTTTTAGACTAATTTTGGTGAATGTGTGACACATCATTGTAAACTGTAGTCAACATTTGCTGCAAATTGAAAAGCTTGACAGGCACAGCAACAGTACAGTTAATTAAACATCTCCCAACATGCTCCGAACAATCGCCACACACAGTTGTAACAGACATTTGGGCACAGTTACAGGAAACGCATCACACCTGACTGTTGGCAAACATCCAATTCAAGAATATTAGGACTGAGATAAAATACTCGTATAACTCATTTTAGCCAAATCATCTCAAAAATACCTTTATTTTAATTGCTGTTGACAAGGACCGATGGGATTGCATCTGTGACAGCTCTAATAAGCAGAAAGAGACACTGAAATTTAGAGTGAAGGTAAAAACCCATAAAACAGTGCTGAATTTGAGTTTTGCATTTGTTTCTTCTATTCACCACTGTCTTATGTGAATCATCTAATATCCATTTATAGAGGCTTCAGAGAGTACTGTATTCTGACCACTTTTGCACACTTTGTGGAGTAGATTTCATTTTAAATGGATACATTTGCCTTTTTGCCCAGCAATCTAAACATAAGGACAGAGCATAAACATTTACATTTATTTAAAATGTATTTAAAGCTATCAAAAATTAAACATTCTCATATAGTAAAGTATTCAGACCTGTCCTGTGACACTGCAAATTGAGGTCAGGTGTATCCTGTTTGACTTAATTATCCATGAGCAATGTCTAGAACTTGGCTGGAGTCCACCAAACTGAATTGGTCAAACATAGTTTAGAAAAGCACATACCTGTATATATAATAATGTGAAATGGATGAAGTCTGGGACCACCAAGACTTGCCTGGAGTCGGCTAGCTGGCCAAACCGAGTAACCTAGTCTGATGAGACAAAAATTAACTCCAAGCACTATGTCTGGTAGACACCAGGCACAATGCTTGCTTCAGTGGATTCCAGTGCGAGTTATGGCAACTGGCTCGTTGGGTTGGCGTGTCCTTGGCCCATCCTTGGCCCAGGGGAGGCTCCAATTAATGGGGCTGACACTTTAAATATTAACAGCTGGCCTATAAAGCAGTGCATGGCAAAAAATGTACAAACACATACAACAAGACAAGCTGAAACTCAACACTTACCGTACTTTCCGGACTATAAGCCGCTACTTTTGTCGCTTCATGCACACACCCTCATCATGGACAACACACGACAAAATGCATATGATGCCACTTAAAGTTACAGGCGATCAATCTGGCTGTCGAAATATCTCATGTTACAATGTGGACACCTGCGCTATGTACAACATGTTTTTTCGCCTTACATTTAGTAGGTACGGCTTATAGTCCGAAAATTACAGTATTAAACACACACCAGTCTGGAGCAGTGTGGAAACTCACATACAGTCAGTCCCTGCAATGTTTAGTCGTGTAAGCTCTGAAGGAGTGTTAACAGCAGGAAACAGAGAAGGACAAAGCAGGTCTGCTGACTGCCTTTATGAACACACTGAAAGGTCATTACCTTCTGTCCCTAAACAAAATTTGGGCGACATTTGTCCCTCCAAAACCTGTTAAAGTGACAGTCTACTAAATCTCTCATGAGAGTGTGTGAGTAAGTGAAGCAAGTGAGTGTCAGCTCACTGCCATTGTGCTTGGCGATGCCCCCCTGTGGCTGATTAGCCTCTCACGCAATCCTCTGCAAGATGGACTGTGGTTCAGTGTGGGGAATAAGAAAAACATATTTTTTTTTAGGAGTTCCTCTGTGTGATGACAGTACTTTGAGATTATGGCCTGTCACAGACTCACACAGGGAGCTTATACAAAGACACCAACAGTATAGTCCAACCAGGCATACAAGGTCTCAAACAAACAAACAATTGTACCTCCTGTAACATTTTTGTGTGTATGTGTGTGTGATCCCACCTTGGCCAAACACTGGGGGTGTTTCTCATGAAAAGCCAGCCTGATCAGGTTAGACAGGGTGGGCTCATCCAACCACTGAGGCCTCCTCCTCTTTTCCTCCTCTTCCAGTCTCCTCAGAACCCCATTCACTGACAGCTCCCTCACCTCGTACAGTGGGCACTGCAGTAGACACTGCAGGAGCCGGTTTGACAGTTGAGGGTCCCCCCAGAGTTCAGGGATCTCCACACTAGCACTGAGGGCCACCCGGGCCAAACTGAGCAGGAACTGGGTGCTGCCGGGTGCCAGTGTGGCAGCAGAAGTGTCGGAGGTGAACAGATCTGAGGATGTCAGGACGGGTAGAACGTTCTGACGGAGCTCACTGACCTCTGAATCTGACAAACATATGATGACAACATAGGATTAGGACACTTAGGGTCATTATATACAGTACAGGATACATTGTTATTATTACAAGTGTGCTGAAAAAACTTAGAAGAAGGCATCTGGACATAGTTTTAGGTAGAAGATGCTTCACCTCTCATCCAAGAGTCAAGAATCTTTATTGTCATTATGCAAAGCACAACAAAATTTTTTCCGGCAGCTCTCAGCTTAAAATTATTTACATAACACACAATTGTATAAGTCAATATAAAAATATGAACAAATAAAAAGGGATGTATGGGACCTAATCAGGTCAGCAGCATGTTACAGCAAGAATGTAGTAACATTATAAGGTGCAGCTCAGTGCAAATCTCAGCCTTTAGGGAAGAGGTGTGAGGTCCAGTGTTCTGTGTCTGTCCATAGGGGGAAGCTTGTGTGTATGACTAGAGGCTTCATCAGTTCTGCCTGAATGGTGGTGAGCAGGAGGTATTTATCCTACTGAGTGGTGTTTCAGTCCCTCGTCGGCCAACAGTGGCCAAAACAGCCATTTGGAAGTGGGAACACTGAACAAGATGGCGCCGCTGTATCTGGCCGGCTGCTTGTTCCTCCTATGCTTGTTTTGTTTTGTTATATTTGATGCTGCCTTAGTATTTTCTGTGCTGGTATATGATCACCTGACTCTCTTAGAACTACGTAACTCAATGTTTAGTTGTCCTAGTTTCCGCCAAGGCTATCAATCGAAGCTACCACCACCTCCGCTGGTGTCCATACCGCCTTTCCTTCAACGCTCTGCCTGCCCTTTCCCGAGCAGATCTCATCGGAGGCGACGCGGCAGGAGAGTGGGACTTCATGTTAAGTTGAAAACTTGCCTGAACTCACCAATGTGGACTGAGCACCTCCTGGAGCATGGCAACTGTGACTCTAGCTGGACTCTGAGCTATAACTATTGCTTCCTTCGACTGGTCGGCTTAGACGTCGACCCTCCTTACCCAGTCAGTACTATGCCCCACCCATCAACGTCTGTATTGGGGATGTATCAAAGTCGGCCATCTCTGACCACTCCATCAATTTTGAAGTCCTGGCACCATCAAGTGCATCCAGACCCATGGCCCTACACCAGCGCCGCAGGAATTATTATTCCCTTAATGGCTCCCAACTTTGCTGCTGCTTTCTTGGCCTCCGATTTTTACTCAGCAGAAGCTCTTAACCCTCCCACGTGTCCCGATGTCTTTCTCTCTTCATTTGACTCTATGTGCTCTCGGATTTTGGATTCCATCGCTCCCTTTAGAGGGATGAGAGCAAGAAATACTCCTGACCCATGGTTAAATGACACTACCCGTGCCTTGTGGAGACGCTGCAGACAGGTGGAGTGTAAATGGAGAAAGGATGGCCTGCACATCTCTCTGAACATTTTAAGGGACAGCCTGGTCTCTTATCAGAAAGCTGTAAAAGATGCTAAAACCCAATATCTGTCTAATATTATCTTGAAAAACAGTCACTGTCCCAGAGTTCTTTTCAATACCATCAATTCTGTTATAAATCCTGTTGTTGAAGGTCCATAATGATGTTACTATGGCCCTTGATGCCAAGCGCCCCGTTATTCTAGCTCTTCTAGATTTATCGGCAGCCTTTGGCACAGCTGACCATGCAGTTTTGCTCTCCCAGTTGGAACACCATGTTGGCCTGAGAGGCACGGTTCTAAAGTGGTTTACCTCTTTCCTGACCAATAGGACCTTCTCTGGCATGAGCGATTTCTCCTCCACCCTGTACAGCCCTTCTCACCTCAGGTGTTCCTCAAGGCTCAATTCTGGCCCTGCTACTTTTTTCTTTATATATGTAACCACTTGGTTCAATCATATCAAGGCATAATGTTCATTTTCATTTTTATGCAGATGACATTCAGATCTATGTGCTGCTGATACTAGACGATTCTAATGCACTTACCCCACTGTATCCGTGACAGAGTAAGATGGAGTACATGGTCTTTAGCCCAGATTCAGCTGCTGTTGTATCCAGTCTAGGTGTTTCAGTGTTAGCACCTTCATTCACCTATACCGTGAAAAATCTTGGAGTGATATTTGACAGCGGCTTTAATTTTGATAAGCAGGTCAGATGCGTGGTTAAAACCAGTTTTTTCACCTGAGACTCTTAACAAAGGTGAAGCCTTTCTTATCGCACACAGATTTAGAAAAAGCTACCCATGCTTTCATCACCTCGCGGCTGGACTACTGTAATGCCCTCTATGTCGGAATCTCTCAATTGCTTCTTCCTATGCTTCAGCTGGTTCAGAACGCTGCGGCTCGACTGTTGTCGAACACCCCCAGATATGCCCACATCACCCCTGTGCTTCACTCGCTACACTGGTTGCCAATACAGTCTAGAGTTGACTTCAAAGTGCTACTATTTGTATTTAAGTCCATGAATGGCCTCGCTCCTCCATACCTGTCAGATCTTCTCTCTTTCTATGCTTCACACAGAGCTCTGAGCTCTGCGCTCCTCAGAGCATCTGTCCCTGGTTGTCCCTTGGTCAAGACACAAAAAATGGGGTGATTGCTCCTTTGCTGTATATGGCCCCAGGCTCTGGAACTCCCTACCGCCAGAGCTACGGTCCATAACTGAGCTAGCGGCCTTTAGGTCAACTCTAAAAACCCATCTTTTTAGACAGGCCTTTGGTGCCTAACCCGTTCCAGTCTTAACCCATCTTTTAACTTGTTGTTTTACGCTGTTTGTGTCCTGATATGGAAGATTTTTACTCCTTCTCTTTTTAAAATTTGTGTTTTATTCTGTTTAGGTCTTGTTTTAGTAGTGTTTTTATTAGCATATACATGTTCTGTTGTGAAGCACTCTGTGCTCCTTTGGAGTTGTAAAGTGCTATATAAATAAACTATTATTATTATTATAACAATGTCCTCCAACAACTGAGTCATTGGAGTTTCCCCCCTGAGGAAAAGAGTGCCTTGGCGAAGGATGAAACCATCACAATCATTCCGGCAGACAAAGGCAAATGTACAGTAGTCCATAACTCAGCCAACTATCAGACCAGAGTTTCTAATCTCCTCAGTGACACCACCATCTATGAAGCACTGAAGAGGGACCCCACCAGTGACTACAAGAAGAAGGTTATAGACTGTTTACAGAAGCTGGAGAAGGAGGGAGTTATTGACCAGCGACTATAGACTACACCAGGGGTGGGCAAACTTTTTGACTCGCAGGCCACAATGGGTTCTAAAATTTGACAGCGGGGCCGGGCCGGGAGCAGAAGGATGGAGTGTTTGTGTGAACTAATATAAATTACATATAAAAGCCATTACACAAAATGTTTTGGCCTTTAACAGGTAGCTAAACATGAATATGCAAGGCTTATTGTACAAATTATTCTGCAAATGCATTATTTTCATAACACAGTAGAGAATTAAACCTTCAGTTAGTGGAACAGTGCTGTTGTTCTCCCTTTTTAGCCAGTGCATCAAAGTCTGGAGTTAGTTTTGTTGGGGCTATTCTCAGGATAGATCTGAGGTGTTGGTCAGTTAACAAGGATCTGTGACTGACTTTGTTGATGTTCATGATGCTGAACGTCTGCTCACGCACATAGGTCGAGCCAAACAACACCAGCATCTTCTGTGCTGTCCTCCTGAGGATTGGAAACATGGCTTCATTAAGTGAAGCATAGTTGAACTTCTTCTTTAAAACAGAGACTGAAGATCGATTAGTTTCAATTGCATCTCCTGTGGTGCTGTTTCAGGGTCTTGTGACAGGGGACAGGAACACCAGCTGAAGTGACTTGTCAATCTGAGAACCGACGGCAGAATTCTCTGTGCAGGTCACCCTGTGATTTGTTGTATTTCTTCATGTTTCGGGTGGCCTCTTTCTGCATGGCCAGTGTGGCAAAATGAGCGAAAGATTTGTTTGAAATTTGTCTGGAGAATAAAGTCAGCTTGAATTTGAAGGCTCTCACATTTGTGTACATGCCGTGCACAAACTGATCTTTCCTCTGTAGCTTCACGTTCAGCTCATTCATGTGTGAAAAAATGTCCACAGCAAACGCAAAGTCACAAAGCCAGTTCTCGTCGCTCAGCTCAGGAAATTCGTTGGATTTCCCCATTAACTCCAAAAATGTGCTAATCTCCTCTTTGAGCTCTAACACTTGTTGAAACACTTTGCCCAAACTTAACCAGCGGACATGAGAGTGGTAAAGTAAGTCCTGGTGATCTGCATCAGTTTCCTCCAGGAATGTAATAAACTGACGGTGCTGAAGTCCCCTTGCTCATATAAAGTTAACAGGTTTTATGACTGGATTCACAACATGATTAAGCTGCAATACAGACTTACACAGAGATTCCTGATGAATGATGCAGTGAAGGAAAATAACATCCTAGTCAGAGTTTTCCTCTTTCACTTTATCCTGGATTCTTTTCAGCAGCCCAATGTTTTTTCCAGTTAAATTTGGCGATCCATCTGTGGTGACATTGGCAAGTTCACTCCAAGGTAGCTTCATTTTCCTGATGACAGCAGAAACCCGGTCATATAAGTCCTCTTCCTTGCGTATTCCCTTTCAGGGACTCCATGGCCAAAAACTCCTCTGTTATCTCAAAACTGTCGTTAATCCCTCGTATAAAAATTAGGAGCTGGGCAGTGTCTTTTCTGCCATTACTTTCATCCAGTGTTAGTGAATAAAACTTAAAGGACTCCGCCTTTTTGTTTAACTCGCTGGATATATCTTCGTCAATCAATTCCACATGGTGAGTCACTGTCCTGTGTGATTAACTGATTTTTTTCAAACTTCCTTCCACAAGAGACCTGCTGTCTCTACCATGCATTCTTTCAAAAACTGGCCTTTGGAGAAAGGCTTACTAGCCTTTGCTAATTTGAATGCCAGCATAAAACTTGCCTTGGTACTTGATTCTTGAATTGCAGTTTGTCAGTAAAAACATTTTGCTGAGTCAGTTAATTAGCCATCAACCTCTGAGCAGTAGCTGTTGTCCACTCCTCATTAAACACTCGGCACTCACTG